ATACTTTCTTAACCCTCTACTGCACATCATATTTGGTAATTGTCCCCGACAACAGGGTGGATTTGGATTACACCCACTGTTTACTTCATAGTAAATGGCTTCAGTTTTAATTATTGGAGTTGGTAGCAACATTGACACTGTTGAAGGTATTCAGGACTAGGTGGCCACGAGAAATCGCATCCAGGTTATTGTCTATGTGAGAGATGTCAGTTGATACTACAGGTTACTGGAATGCACAAACAATAATTAACTTGTAGTTGTAGGAGGACACATGTAGAATGTAGTGATACATGTTCTTTTCCTTGACATGCAGTTACAAGTGTTGTAGTTTATAATTACAAAAGGATAATGAGATACAGGAGTAATAATGCTTGAGACAAGACTAAGGAATTTAGTTCATTCATGTGTGTATTAACTTAAAAAAATACATATCAATTACAAACAATAGGCCCTAGTTAATTGTTTAATGTTGTTAAGCCTGGTAGGTATTTATGTTTGTAAAGAAACTAAACAGTATTCCCAAAGTTTTATTTTTCAGAAATAAAGAAAATGACACAAATCAATAAAGAACAGTTTTCAAAAGAATTTGTATAAAAGTAATTATTTTAAAATAGGATTATAGTGTTGCATAGAAAAATTTAAAATACATAACATAAACAATGAGAGGAATATTTTTTTTTATCAGAGAAGAGAAAAATATATAATGCAATTTGAAAATAATAATGTACAGGTTGTAGCTTTTCCAAATTAAAATGAAAATTTTTGTTTCATTTTTATTTTCTCGTTTATACGAAGTATAAAGAAAGTCTTGTAATCGTGAAAAAAAAATCGAGATTTTTGCAAATCTTGACGTTTTACACCTCACTGATACAGAAAAACATAATTTTGCAATCTTGTCCGTATGTCTGTGTGTCTGTGTGTCTGTGTGTGTGTAAACACGATAACTTGAGTACCGTTACAGCTAGGTTGATGAAAGTTCATATGTAAGTATTTTATCAAAATTGTAGATCCCTATCAGCTTTTGAGCGATTTCCGATAACCGAAAGTGGTGCTTTTTCTACTTTGAATTTTTCAAAAGCCTATAACTTGAGTACTATTTGAGATAGATAAAAGAAATATTTCACATGCAAATAAAAGATCTAATCCTCTACCTTCTGTCAAATTTTGAGTAATTTCCGTTGACCGGAAGTACTCATTTACACTATTTCCGATTTCTCAAAAAACGTATGTAAATTATATAAAGTACTAATAATATTGCGCACTATTATGAACATCTTTATTTGGCGTTCGTTTGGTGCGCAATTCTTTTTTTCTTTGAGATTCTATTCTATTTTAAAAAGTTTAAGTATTTAAAATAGATTAAAATTCATAACTATATCCCGAGTTCCCATCCCCTGTTGTTTTAAATAAGAATATTCGAGAAAGTTTAGGGGAGATCACTCCCGGTTTATTAAATATTATAATACATCATTTAAAGAAATTCTATTTTGGGAATTTTATATAAACTTAAATTTATATATTTAATATGACAATTGGGCGAATCACAATAAATAGCAAAAATCATTCAAATAAGTTTAGAATTTTTTTGGCTTGCTGTCCTAACAATGAACTATATCCCGAGCTTGTTCCCATACTAGTGATAACCCATCTTTTTTTTTGTGCCATCCTTCCAATCAAATATCCAGCTTTTTATTGGCCTGTATTATAATTCTGGTCATAGAATTTCTTGACTTGTGTACAAACCATCACCACATGATTTTAAATGTTTTTCTGTAAATGAAATAAACAATGATGAATTGTAATAAACACTGATGATGGTCAATTAAAGTAAGTGAAAAAGGAAAAATATTTTGATATTTTTTTGTGTGGAACCAGCAAGAGAAATAAATTACAAATCTATAAATTACTATCTATACTATTTCTTCACTATAACTAATTACTTTGAAAAGATAAATCACTGAACATGATGAATAACAATAAACAAACATGATCAACAAATATAATTATAGATTTAAAATTGCATTCATTCATATTGAAAATTAATAATGTAGACTATCAATATTTACCCTCTTGATGACTGATACTTTGATTTGATGTCTTCACATTAAACTTACACATTAGCCTCTGTGAGGTAAAATATAAAATATGCTTCAATAAAACTGTTTCAGTATATTAATTGCATTAGATAAGTACATAGTACAATATGTGTTTCATATATCATTCAAATATAATACCCTCTAAGTTGTACAACTCACCGATTTATTAGAATTTTTAAACAATTCTATAATTAATACAATATTTTGGATTAATTGGGCCTAACAAACAGTGAAACTAAAATAAAAATAATTAAAATTACTAAGTTAACCTTCTTACCTCCGCTTCTGTAGATTCCCATTTCCTTCAAACTTTCTTTTTATGCAGCCGTAGGATCAGATTCTATCTATTCTATACCTAGCTATTCATTATTCTTATCGGCTTCTATCATTATAGTTGATTATAAATATAAATATGTAGATCTAGATCTAGGCCCTATTCACTACTATAACTATTACTATTTAGCCTATTAGTTTGATTATATTTTATTACAAGGCTACTACTAATAAACACTAACAAACATGCAATAACTACTAAACAGAATACTAGATCTAAATTCCCAGATTATATGCAGTATGTATTAAACCTATAGGCCTAATATTTATTTTAAATTCATGTGCGATGTGTCATGAAATGTAAGTTTCATGTTTTTTTTTTTAATGGCGGAAATCAGTTTAACATTTCGTTTCCCTAACCCTTTGTTATTATATTTATAGATTCAGAATGCTTCGATTTGGAGCAAAGAAAAGATAGGCTTATGATCCTTGAATTAGTCGGGTGATATATAGCACTTTATATCTATGAGTTATTTAGTGATCAGATCAATGACAGTATCAGAAATAGCCATTCGCATGGGGTGACTTCCTCCTTTCTCTCTCTCTCTCTCTCTCTCTCTCTCTCTCTCTCTCTCTCTCTCTCTCTCATTTGGTGATATTCTTGCTCAGGTTAATGCTGGCCAGTCATGCAGATTTCGACATCGTTAAGATAGAATCGACCATTTCTTTTTCTACTGTTATCTACCATTAAAGAAGATATCCTGGCACTACTGCTTTAGATCTTTTGTCTTGGATAGAACGTGAAATCCCTGCAATCATTTTCTAAATCTATTTTCTTGTAAGAAATACACATTCGGGCAATAAATCTTCATTTCAATTTAATCCTTTCTTTTTTGGTCCAATCACTTAACAGGATATACAACATTATTTTCTGATAACAGAGAAATTTCGGCTAATTCTTAAAAAGCTTGGAACTTTTCTCTTATAACGAAACTCATTCCTAAAATTGTTCTTTAGCTTTAAACACACATACACTGCATTTTGTAATATATAGTTGCTTTTGTTTTAACAACAGCTGACGCCATATTGATTGAGCACCAGCTACCACTGAACGACTGCAGAACTGATGATATTGACCTGCTTCTGGTTTCTGATTTTTGGAATGATACCACTATTCAAATCCGGAGATTTAAAAATATCGTCCAATGGTTTTTCCCTGCATCGAGCAACGATCCAATGAGACTACGGCTTCACTTGTTGGTTCACATGAACGTGACTCATTCTGAATCTTTGATTCACTTTGATGATTATAATACGACTGACGGGTTAACGGAAGGTTTGGACCGGTTTGTCACAAATCATCAGTTTAATAGGAAACGTGATCATTTGTACGGCCTTAAATGTCTGGAAAACGCTGAACAAATATTTGACACATCACGACGAGTACACGCTAAGCGTCTGGCTATAGTGTTCACATATGTAAACCATAAGCGCTGCACTGAAAAAGAAGGAGATCATCTTCTCATCTCCCCTATAGTTTACCCCTACTATACATACTTTATCAGGGATACGTCATTACACACGAATGACGATAAAGACCAAAATGTTCGAGTCATTTCGGGAACAGAGGATTTGATGAACGACCAAAAGATTGGGGGATCGCTGTGTGGGCAATGTTTAAATGGGTGGCTGACATTGAGAAAAAATGGATCAAGGTCAAAGCTGTCCTGCTTTTTCATAAAGGAATTTGATCAAAATGCCAGTCGGAAAAAAGTTGTATCTTTCTGTGACTCGATAAAAGCAAAATTAGTTACTTTTGAAACAAAGGAAGAATTTAATTTTTTACAGTCAAATCTTGAACGTATGGATGGGAATAATTCGATGTATTTTGTTCATGTCGGTTTGGCTCTAAGGAAATATAGTGATGTGTATGGGTTTATGTGGGACACTGACTTACCCTTGACCTTCAACTTCCCAATGGTTGTGACTAATGTGAAGAGCCATAGCTTCGTGAAACACTTTGCCTGGATCAGCAATGGTCGGTCAAGTGATGATAACGTGACGTGTGACAGTGTGAACGACGTACGAGTTTATGATGAGAAACAGACACATCTGGTAATTTGTGAACTCGAAGAGATCCATCCTTTGAATATTAGATTTGTCTTAATTAAAAAAGCGAGAGACGAACACTTTTTTAGAATTCACAACAAAACAGAGTTTGTTTATTTTACCGGCCAATTCGGCAGCGCTTTGGTTTCCGTTACAAATCATATAGCATACATTAATAAAACACCCCCGACACAGATGTTCAATTGTGATTTTTATCACTCTGTGCCGTTTAGTTTTCATTGTGACGGATACCAAGATTGTTTGTATCATCTAGACGAGTTGTTTTGCATTGACTACTTAAAGCCGTACTTAAAACATTATCCAATAAAAAACAAATGCTTTTTAACTTATTTTGATTATGATTTCTTTTCTGTTGATCAACGTTGTGACGGTTTCCGGGACTGTTATAGGGGTGAGGATGAAGCGGGTTGTGATGACGTCTGCTTGGAAACTTTGTGTGACGACGGCACGTGTCTACCGAGTCAGTGGTTCTCAAACCCGAGTCGGGAGTGTAGGTTGAATATGACAGTCAACGAAGTTTTACCAGCTAATGTGAACATTACCCACGACAACAACTGTTCGGAGTTTTGTGGAAATGGACCTTGTGTCTATCCTGAGGAACTTGGTCAAGGGATCGTCTTCTGTGACGAGAAAAAGGTGAACGTAAATTCTTGTGGGAATCATCTGGAGAATAGAATTTGGGCCGCTCGTTGTGTACTTTTGAAAGGAAGGTTTAACAAAAAATTAGGTTGTTCGGATTTGTCGCATATAGAAAACTGCGACACATTCATATGTCCTGATGGTTTATATAAGTGTCCTAGCTCCTACTGTATTCCTGTGTATAACATTAACGATGGGTATCCAGACTGTCCTTACGGAGACGATGAAAATATAGAAATAGTTTCTGAAAATCTTTTTCAATGTATTGCCATGGATGACTCTAAAAGTATTTATCTTCTGCCTGTTCACGTTTGTGACAACAAGACACATTGTCCTCGCGGTGATGACGAGATGGGCTGTCACGTGACATGTCCTGCAGGGTTTCGATGTGTCGCTGGCACGGTCAACCCCGCCATACACCCCGAAAAAATTATCCTAACCAGTCTCAGTGAATTCGACATTCACACAAAATATTTAAACTTGTCTGGCATTGATTTATCCCGTGCGTCAGTTGGTGATCTCGATGAACTTCTTGAGCTTCACGCATCCAACTGTAATTTATCGAGTCTCGTATCCAGGTTCTTAAACGTTGAGAGTGCTGACCACATTACACATTTAGATCTTAGTTTTAACAATATCCAAGCAATCGACGCAGATAGTATGTTTTGCCAAATGGAAGATTTACAAACACTTAATCTTTCTCATAACTTGGCTTTGCACAATTTTGGTTGTACTTTTGAACATATAAAATCGATAGACTTATCATTCACAAACATTACACAATTTTTTTATTCGAGAGACTTAGGTGCGATTTTGCTGTTTGTAAACCTAAGCCACACTCCAGTTAGAAATTTTCGTCTAGACAATACGCAGCTGAGCACCCTTGATTTAAGGTCGACCAGAATAAAAATAGACCCGAGCACATCCAAGGTACTCGCTTCTTTTACAGTCAGTTCCGCTTTTTATGTGGACTACTTTCAGCTTTGTTGTCCCCAGATCCGAGGCCCGGGTATCTCTGGGGATGTCTGTTTCGCTCCACAGGAAGCCATTTCTTCGTGTGAAGCTCTTCTTGGCGACCAGGTCAAGCGGATACTGTTGTGGATTCTGGCTGTTGTGTCTACTATTGGTAATCTAGGGGTACTGGGCTTTAGGTTAGTGTTTGAAAGAAAACTAATCACAAAAAGTTATCGGTTATTCATAACAAACCTCAGCATATCCGACATAGTCATGGGGGTGTATCTGTTTATCATAGCAGGAAATGACGTCTACTACCGAGAAGATTACATCATGTATGAGTCAGAATGGCGTCACAGCTCTCTGTGTACAGCTGCTGGTTTCCTAGCAACACTTTCGTGTGAAACGTCAGCATTGTTTGTGCTGCTCGTCACTCTGGAGAGGTATTTGGTCATTAGGTTCCCACTTGGTCCGTACAGGATTAAACGTGTCAAAAAGTATTTCGTACTTCTTGTGTCCTGGGTAGTCGGCGTCATTTTGGCCGTTGTTCCTTTGGTATATCCAGGTTGGGCCTTGTATTCCTCTAATGGGATGTGCCTTGGCCTACCAATGATAAGAAGCCAAGAATCAGGATGGGCGTATTCTTTCGCAGTTTTCCTAGTGTTTAACTGCATTTTATTTATTCTTATAGCCATTGGTCAGTTGGCCATCTTTCTGGCTATGTCCAGAGAAAAAACACAGCTTCAAAGTAGCGCCCACAGTTTAGCCAAGCGAAAACGTGAGATCATGGTCGCCAAAAACTTATCCCTGGTTGTCATGTCCAATTTCCTCTGTTGGTTTCCTATCTGCGTCATTGGTCTAATGACCGCGCGTGGTCACACGTTCAGTCAGCAGACGTACGGCTGGCTGGCTGTGTTTGTGCTGCCGCTAAACTCGGCCGTTAATCCGATTATCTACACACTTCCGGTTGTGTTTCAAAAATGGGAGGACTTCAAGAACTGGAGAGCAAGTCAAAGTTCTCGCCCGCAGATATAATCGACATGACAACTTTCAGGATATTTAGCCTTCGCCTAAGTATCAACGATAAATCATTTCAAAAACCAGAGATGGGTTGTTTTATTTTACTAGGTGTTTAATGTAGGAGAATAGAAACAAATTGACACAATAATATTTTCAAAAAAAACATGAATTCTAAATTTTGTAATAAAAATGTTTAGGGACAGAATTTTTTTTAAATGACTGGTTTATAGACGATGCAAAAAGCGTTGCGTTTTCTTTATACAACTGTTATTAATACCATGTTTACATAAAACATTAACTGTAGAGATATATACATTTCATAAGTTTGCTCCTCTCCATGTATTAGGAGATTTTGATTAGCAAATAGCATAGAAAACTTCGAATAAATCTTGTATTTAAGCATTGTACGGTAAATGTTCAGTAATTCTGTTTTGTATCTACCTCACTACTTGATGTTATTTAGATTTTTTATCTTATACCGCTTTAGCATTATTTCTCAATTTATTACAAAATTTACGAATATTTAAATACCCTTTTTATATTGTTTTTCTAGGATCGATGACATGATTTTAAAAAATTATTGTAATTCTTATTGCATCTAATAGATTAATTGTTCAAAAGTGTGTAATTTTATAAGTCGGTTAAATTATCTAAAATTACTTTGTTTTCGTAGCATGTTTTTAAAAGCATATTACAAGTAAGAAGCTTAGTAGTGTTTTGTAAAAACACCTCATTTACACATGTCCATTTCAGATAAGACTTTTGTGAAAATTCAGAAGTGTAAGTTCCACAGCTCAAACTACAGTTTTATATTCCTAGTGATACCACATGTGGAAAAACAAGTTTTGGCAGTATAACGCTTGGACATATGTGGCCGACGAAGTAGAGTTCACCTATTTCTTTGGCCACCGCTAATAGAGGGATCGTGTTGTCAGTTTAAGATTAGTTGTCTTTTCTTTCCCATACGTCAGTCAGGTACTCGCTAGAGATTGGTTTAGGGGGGGGGGGGGGGGTTCGGGCTCGAATCTAGGATTTGAACTTGAGACTTGCCGGTTAGCAGCCGTTCGCTCTACTTTTCAACCACACCATTGCTACCTGTAATTAATATAAAATGCCAAGTAATTACTAAGCCCTCATTACAAAAGGGATACATTTTTGGGATGGGGATAGAAGTCTCGTATAAACGATACATTATATTGTGACTGTAACGTTTTGTTTACATCTTCATAGCTACTAATACTTTAAACTGTTTGACATTAACTGTTTCCTTATTGTCGGTATTACAATGTATTTCTTCTAATTTATATATATATATATATATATATATATATATATATATATATATATATATATATATATATATCAGTAACATTTTTTAACCTTATTTTTCCGCTTTGCTCAGAATATATGTGGTGTTTACAAAAATAAAATAGAGATCAATTTTGAAAAAGCCTTTTGTTATTTTATTTTTTGATGTTTGAATAAATTCGTGTTTTTAGTTTTACAGCTCTTTGTTTCCCTTATAACACGTGTAGAAACTAGTTAGCGAATTAATGCGCATTTCGATGTTGTAATTTTTCAAACACGCATACAATGAACACCATCGGTCCCTTGAAAAAAATATTTTTAAAATTGTTTTTTTTTTTATAATTTGGCCATTTACGTTATTTAGGTAATACAAAATGGAGTTAAATAAATTTTAATGTCGAAAACTTAACAAGACAAAAACATGCACAAAACTCTCCACTTGCTAATCGATGATGAAAACCGTTTCAGTTTTAAACTTGACAAAGTCCCAACATGTTTGGAAGTAGGGGGAAAGCGGGAGGTGTTGTAATTTAAACGACATATATCGGTAGTAGTATATTAGGTCACTTTTGGAGCGTATTTTTGGCGCAGGTGGTGGTGGGAAGGCGCAAAGGTTATATAGCAAAATACTCGGAGGCGCAGGCGCAGCCTGCCGCAGCCAGGCGCAAAGACATATAGCAAAATACTACGCCAACTGGCGCATCGGGATGGTGAGGAGCGAAGGGTGAAGGCGCAAAGACATATAGTAAAATACTACGCCAACTGGGGTTGGCGGAGGTGGTGGGGAAGTAGGTCACCTTTTGGTGACCTTGTGACGTAATCATTGACCTTGTGACGTAATTAGTGACTTTGTGACGTAATCACTGACCTAGTTACGTAATTTTAATGCGTTTTTAATGAGTTTTAATGAGTTTTTAAAATTTTAATTAATTTTTGACCTAGTTACGTAATTTTAATGTGTTTTTATTACGTAATTGTTTAATTTGTTTGATTTAAAATGTTTAATTACTTTGTTTATATTGTGTAATTTTTTTTTTATTTTAATTTGTATTTGTTTGATTTTAATTTTTTAATTATTTTTATTTTGTTTTTAATTACTTTGTTTGTGTTTTGTTTATTTTTAATAAGTTTAATTAATTTGATTTTTATTTATTACATTTTTAAATTTTTTAAATTTTATTTTATAATTAGTTTAATTATTTTAATTAGATTATTAGTTTGAAATTCATTTTATTTCTTTGATTTTATGTTTATATTGTGTAATTTTTATTAACGAGTTACATAATTTGTTTATTTGTTTACTTTTTGTTTAATTTGCTGGTTTGTTTATTTGCTTGTATGTATGTTTTAAATAAAAGACTAACACTAGCGTGGACTTTGTATAGGGACCATTCTCCAACACAACGAACGTTACAAAAATAGAACATCCATTAAAGATAACGATCAGCCACAGCTGTTACGTATCGACCCGCCCGCGAAGTTTTCCGGGCTGCACGTTTTTTAATGGGAATGTATTGATTGCAGCTACAGGCCCATCACACCTAATTAATTTGGTCACGCATCGTGGGTTTATGTGTTGTTCGCCGAAGCGAACACAGCAGGGGTCCCGCGTTTAATCGAAAGAGCTAAGTGGTTAACCGCAAAGCCAGCGTTAAGTGTGGGAACACATGTTACCACAATAATTGATTTCCCCCCCCCCCCGGTTGGGTCCCGTGCTTTTCACTAACAGTTATACGGACAGTATCATAGGTTTTTCATCGAGTAAATAAATAGTATTGATCGACCCATGTCTAGTCTATATACCCATTAACCAACGGTGCAACAACTGTTGCGCGACCACAGCATAGGATCTGGTAATTATCGCGAAGTCATTAGGTAACAGCTGGTGCTGTAATTAGACTGACCAACCGGACTTTTTTCATTACTTTGTTATAACTATTCGCTTATAGCGACGGTCAGCGAAAACAAAATATTTTAAGGGTTGGAATTTTCTTTCAACCACCGTTAAATCAGGTTTTGAGACGAAACGAAGTCTCGGTAGGTTCGTGTTTTTTAATGGGCGACAGGGCGACTTGGTGCGTTGGTACCGTGAGGTATGCGGGTAGACAAGTTTTTTTTTCAACTCTGGAAAAGTAATTAAGTTTTTTTTTTATGGCCGTTCCGATTTTCTTTTGATCTGACCACCATTTGACCACCCTGAGCCAGATAAATTTAACAAATGTTCAATACATAGTCGCTTATAGTAACATGGGTGAGGGGTGTAAGCAGGCGGGTGACGGTGTGAACAGGTGATTGAAGGGTGAGCACTTAGGTGAAGGGGTGAGCAGATCGGTGAAGGGGGACAGGCGTAGGATTAAAGGATATATAGTAAAAGATTCCACCACCTAAGTGAGGTGGATTTTAATTTTAATTTTTTATTTTATTTCTTTCATCCTCTGTTAACTTTAAGGTTCTATAACTCTATATATTTAAATACATTTTTTGATTCAAACGAGTTTACTCCCCCTAACGTAAGCACATGTAAAGAGGGATTTCCTATAGGTCTGTAATGAATTAGGCCTTTTTGACTATGACTTGTTGCCCAGGTGTTGACATGATACACTTTTTTGAGATACATGTACACACACACACACACACACACACACATGCGCGCGCGCGCGAAATTCATACTTGGTCGGTAAAGGCGGAGAGAACTTATAGGTATACATTATCATAGCGACAACAAAACCGACCCTTATTTTATTTACATGAAAGCGTGTTTTCCAAAAAGTCTCACCAGGCCGTTGTCATTTTCGCAGCGGGGTTTATTTTAAGTGCACCCCGTGCACGATTGTTTACATTTTAAAAGAAGTGTCGCGTGTCTTCCCCATAGGTCTTCCCTAATAGAGAAACGAGAGGAAAGACAACTGTTCTAAAATTAGAACACCCTTGTCTACACCGACGAGTTTCGCCCCTTGTGAAAAATATTCGCGTCAGAATCCTTAACTAAACAGTCAATTTCTTTAACAAGTTAAAAAATAATTTACGAAGACAAGGGTTAACAACATTAGACGCTACCGTTTTTGTTTCCTGTGACGACAAGGCACAATACACTTTTGTATGTTATGTCTCAAGTAGAGGGGTGGGATATTTTTTCTTTGTAAGCGTGTTGTAAACAATGGGTAGAGGAGGGGATTACTAACTAAAAGGGGAGAGAACGTGATTTGCATCGCGATATTTGAAAACATGGTGAGGTTTAACCTCAACCAAAAAAGGCAATGAAACTGGAAGGAAGTCGAATATATATCTTAGTCTTGCAGCAGATTACCTTCCCATGTTCGCTTTAGTATTACAGTTTTCATCAAACTTCTTTTTGACTTGAACTTCTTTAATTTTTAAGAAAGTTTACTTATACATATTACATTACGTCTAATGATAATTTTTTTATTTTTACCACTCAATGTATTTTGTTTTTTCTATATCTTACATTGCCATCTTAATTTTTGATCACCTTAGTAAAAATTTGCTTAAGATTATAAACTTCAAGTTTTAAAAAAACAACAACGTTATACTACGTCGTGTCAAATGACACACCGTTTAAAATGTCTACATTTAAAGTTCACCAATATTATGACGTAAAAACTAAATATGATATGACATTAGCATACATATCATTCAATCTAATCACTCTAAAGTACAAATCAATTTTAAAATATTTTGTTTTCGCT